AATCACTGTTTACAGTTTTTGAAAAGCTCCTATTATTGGCCTCCTAAACTTCATGCAAGGGCTTGAGCTGTAGGAGGTCATGGGTCCTGAGGAAACTTGCCTAGGGTAATAAGAGAACAGAGATTTCATCTGAGGCTGAAGACTTTTTCCTTCCTGATTAAAGCCCCTGACTGTAAGCTGGGTTGGGGAAGGAGTCTCTGGGATATCCTGGGTATTTATATGAGGCAACAGAACCAGTTGTTCTGAGCCTGACCAGTGTCCAGGTTTTTCACAGTTATACTGTAGGTGGTATTTCTACCTAAACCAAATATTCACTTGCTTATCTATTATCTATTTGGTTTCCATTTGGCCCTTTAACAGACACCCAGATGATTTCCAGTCTTCCTATACCTACTATTGGGATCCCTAAGTTACGAGAAGGAGCTCAGATCCTCTTTACCACGTTAGTTTGCAATTCATTGCAATTCAAAAAAATTTAGGAGTTGAGGGAACACAGCAATACCCAGAGTTTCAGTTGTGTGAAGGAGGTAAATAAATGGCAAATATCATTTAAGGGGTCCATCGCTGAAGCCTTTTGATGCCAGTACATCAAATGAAATCTTATAGAGTCTTAAAGACTATGCCAATGGAACACAAGTCCTGGCCAGTGTTACCTAACTGGAAAGGCTGTTTTTACAGGCTCAACAACAAAGTTTTGGAGATCTGAGGACCTAAGTCCAGAGAGACTATTCACCAGTTGAACCACAGTGATGAATTTGTTGCCTGCAACTACTTACAAAGACTATTTGTTAAGTTGTAGAGGAGCTATGAGTTAGTAGAATGAGAGGAAACCCAGAAAAAAATTATACAACTTTGAATGAATGAATAAATGAAGAAGTATTAAGTGACTACTGCATAACACACACTGTGCTGGGTGTTCAGAACTCAAATACAAAAGCGAGGTAAGTCTTGCTCTCAAGGAACTTGTATTCTAATTCTAGGATTCAACATACAGGAAAGTAGTGGCCAGGGAAGAGTTTTTAATCTGAGAAGCGAAAAGAAAGGCAAGAGGAACCATAGACTCATCTATTTTAGCACTCTTTCCAAAAGCAACAGTAGTATTGATGTGATGGGAAGAAGAATGTAGCCAGTAGCCAGAGAGAAGGCAAAGTGCCATGGTTGGAATAATGTAACTCATTAGCCAGAGGTAGTGGGTTAAGTACATTTTTACTCACTCAGCAGGCAGATCAGCACAGTCCAAGGACAGGGTTCCATAGTTGAATGAATTATCTCTCCCAAATGGGAAAGAAACTGTGTAATGATATGGAATTGGAAGATGCAGTGCTTTTCACGGGAAACAGCAAGTGGACCAGTTTGACTGGCTCATAGAGCATGTGATGGGAAGTCTGAAATAAGTCCAGAAAAGTAGTCTGAAAGATAATAGTGTAAAGAACACTGACTTTGGAGCAGGGGACTTGGCTTCATCTCTTGTCTCTGTCACTTATACAGAACAGGCAAGTCACTTAACATCTCTGGCCCTCATTGTAAAATGAATTTAAAATGAGTTTGCTTATCTGCAAGATGAGGGTGTTATACTTGATGGACTTCCACTACCAAGTCTATGATCCTATGAAAATTATTTGTGAAAGGCTTTAAATGTCAGAAAAAAAAATTCATATTCATTGAAGCTTCTTGAGCAGACAATGACTTAGTCAGATCTGTACTTTAAGAAGATTATTTCAGATTTCCATGCAGTCAGTTTGAATTAACCATGGCAAAGGATTGCCAAAATGTGATCATTAGTATGGTTGAAAGTGCTGTGTTTGGTTTTTGCCATTACATTGCAGCTAGGACATTCATTCTATGAATACACCTTTATTTTAATTTTCAATACACCATTAAATTTGCCACGATTTATAGTGTGTAGCACACTACGTGAATTAAGCCCTAGGAATACAAAAGTAAAATGAAATGTAGTTTGTGCCTTCAGGGATCTAACAGTCTAATTCTTATTAGGATATGCTTTTAAAGTCATGCTTTAGGAAAAATACCAAAGCAAAGATTATGTGAGCAGCAATGTGGACAAATACATTGGGAACAGGAAGATCATAGGATTATTGGATCATAGATTTAGAGCTGAAAAGGATACTTAAAGATTGTCAAGTCTTGTTTTTTAATGGATTAAAAATTGAACCCCAGAGAAGGTAAGTGACTTGCCCAGAGTCATATAGCTAGTAACTATCTTAGGCAGGATTTGAACCCAACATCTTCCTGACTCTTAGACCAGCACTTTGTCCACTATACCAAGCTTCCTCTGTGGTCAGAGGATTAATTACAGTAGCCCAATTGGTTGGCAATGGGAACCTGAATGAGGGTGGTTTCAATGAGAATGGAAAAGAAGAAGCAGATAAAGAGATATTGTGGAGCTAAAATTCTTAGAACTTGACAACTTGTTGGATGTGGGGCTTGGAGCTTGAGAGAGGAGGAGGAATTGGAGATATCAGTAAAGTTTTGACCCTGGATGCTTGGTAACATAGTGTGAGCCTTCAACATAAATAGGGAATTTGGGGGGGGGGTTAGGGCAGGGTGAGAGGGAGTGGGGGAGAATGGATTGAATTTGGGTTAGTGTCTTTCAGGGAACAGTGGAACATCCAGCCAGAGTCAATAGATAGTTAAAAGCGTGGAATTGGGACTCTGGGATGAGGTCAGGGATAGGGATCAAATATTGGCATCATCTGGGTAGAGGTGTTCATTGAAGCTATCCAAAATGGGAATTTAAATTCCTCTCTTCTAATGACTCAAGGAGCCTATTTTAAACACATTTCACTGTAACAAAGTTAGATGAACAAGAGACAACCTGATTTGATCTTTTGTTTTGATAAAAATTGAGCCAATGCCACTTTGTGGCCAGCACCAATGGCATTATTGGCTCAATTTTATCCAATCTAATTCAGCATATATTTATTAAACACCTATTACGGACAGGTCACAGATCTTTCACAAAAGCATCAAAGTATTTTTTGACAAACCATTTTGGACACTTTGAGCTCATTATATAAAAAGTTGTGGGTTTGCATGAACTAGTGTGAAAATGTGTCATAAACATCTGCTTGCAGATTCTGTGTATCCCCGCTTTCCTCTACTTCGTTGTCTTCTTAAAAAAAAAAAAAAGCATTTCCCCATTTATTTTTTCCTTCAAACTAATCCATAACTTGCTTTTATTCCTAAAGTTGGGCTTATTTGTGCTGTGATGAACTTTTGCTCCTAATCTGCATGTAGAACTTCAGTACACATTAAAATTATCAGGATATTTCTCTCCTCCTCCTTCCTCAAAGAGAGAAAGCATTCCTGGCATTGTGCTGCCTGTCATTCTGAAACTGCAGAAAGTCCAAAGACTGTATTTGGAATTGTTTAGTAGAAAGCCATCCCTGAAATAACTGTCTTGTGTGTTGTCAGAATTCCTAAGTGTTGATTTTCTTTGCTGTGTGAATGCTCTACTCTTCTTTTTTCCCTCCATCCCTTAACTTCCCCTGTTTAACAGCAGACAAACCCAGGGAGTACTGAATGAATCGGATGATCCCGAGACAGGCTGTCTAATTGATAACAAGCCAACTTCTCGTCACTTCTATCCCGTCGCCTTGCTGCTTGTCAGCTCACATCTCCTGGTTGTGTGGCTCATTTTAAGTCTTGCTTTACTACTAGCCAAATATCAATAAGTTTCACTGTTCTGTTTCTTTTCTACAAATGGCAACAAACTTTAAATTGAGGAGGGGCGGGGGGATCCTGTGCTATTTCTACATTTTCAGATCCACAGAATTTAAAATACAAATGTTTGAATTGTACAGTGTTGGTTTTTTGTTTGTTTTATTTTCTTAAAAATCTAAGAAGTACTATGCATTCAGTGAATTGTTAGCTCTTTTTGTTCCTGGAGAAAATTTTCCCATTGTTTATTAGCCCAAAAGGAAAAAAAATAGCTAAATTAATGTCTTGTAAATAAGACAAAAAACAGGATCCTGAAAGCTTGAAGGTTCAAGCCTTCTTTTCCTCTTCCAATTAAATGAATTTGAAGAAACTGAAACTGATTTTGCACAACACAGTCAAACTCTGAAACGGGTCCTATTGATGTGGGAGTGTGTAGCATTAATTTTTGTTGTGCTACCTTCATTGTTGTCTTCAACTGACTGGCCAGACCTTCTGTTTGATTTCCCCTCTTGGTGGGTCATGTCATTTCTTTGCTGCGACTAACCCTTTTCTGTCAAGTAACCTTAAGGAGACAAAACTGAGTTCTGTTTTTGTAATTGAATTTATCTGTTTGTAATTGCTGTTTTTGTTGATTTCTTTTCCGAGACACTTTTCTATTCTTTTTAGCAAAGTCTTGCTTGTGTCTTGATGCACCATTTTCGGCATTTGTGACTTTTGTACTGTCTGTGAACAAGCCCCCTCCCTTTATAAAGCAGAGACTTGGATCAGGCTGTTTGGAAAGCCATGTTCACTCTTTTTCATTGCACAGCTTAACATACTGAAATCAAATGGAGATAAAACTTTCCTTTAGAAAATCTATTGGGCCAGACTTAATCAATGCCTTATTCCTAGAACCTGCATCTTTAGGGCTACATAGAGATTTTAATGTGTTTTTAAAAGTCTGAGAAATTAATTTGTGAAAAAAAGATATATAAAAGGCAGATATATTTCTGAAACTAAAGTAAAGGTGTATTGTGGAGTCAATTATATTTAAAAAGTCTATTAAAACTTAAATATATGTTAAGGGCAAAGAATTTAATCATCTCTTTCTGAGGGCAATAATGGTATTGGGCCTGGCCTTGGATTTAATTTTGTAAGATGTATCATCACTTGTGGGGGAAAAACAACAACAAAAAAAAGACAAAAACAAAAACAAAAATGTAGAGTTGAATCTTTGTTATTTTTACTTGGACTGTTGCTGCAACTCTGCATTGAACAAATAAAAAACATATTTATTTATTCTGTGTTTCATGAAGTTGTGCTTTTTCCCCTTTTGCCAGAGAAGGATGCCGCATAGAGAATGTTCTGAAGAATATCAAATGCAGAAAATATGCATTCAACATGCTACAACTGATGGCTTTCCCCAAGTACTACAGACCACCCGAGGGGACATACGGAAAAGCTGACTCATAAGTTCCCCTCAATGTAAACAGGAACACAAATATGTCTCAACTGCATATTATACACTTTTTTTGATCATTAATGGGGGGCATGTGCACAGATCTAGAGATTACTTGAATTAGTTATCAATACAATAAGTTTTAAGGTGAACTAAGAACTGTTGGCAATTATTCTGGGGATTAAGTGGGGAGGGGAGACGTATTATACAGAGTATTCTATCTCCAGTCCCTAAGTACAAGAGCGTCCTGAGGTTCAAGGCATTAGTTTTGACCCACTGTTTAGTATTCATTCAGAAGGCCTCTACCTTGGACACATGGTACTTAAATGAGAAATTTTCAAAAAATTTTGCTAATTTGCAACAAGAAACTCATTATGTCATCAAAAAATTCCTTAAGAGTCTTACTTCTGGTAAAAAGGGCTTGCTATCTCATCCTGGGGTGCTATGTGACAGCAGCTGCCCAGACCCTCTGAGAAGTACCTTCCGTCCCAAAGTGGGTGTATACACACGGCTAATAAAACAGAAAATACTTCCACAGAAATGTTCTCTAGAAGGCAAACACCTGTTTCAAACACTGCCTATGTGTTCTACCACTGCCTGTAAAGAATGTATGACCCTCACACAAGAGGTAAGAGGAACAGTAACACTCAAAAGGGACATCTGTAATTGGACCAGGGACAGAGAGCTTCAGAGCAAATAGCAAGAAGCATGCCTTCAGGGGGAGCGGCCACCCCTCCAGGTCAAATCACCCTCTATGCTATGTAAAATGAATGACTACTTGCTAAGGGAGCTAGTTAGCCAAAAAACAAACAAACAAACAAACAAACAAACAAACAAAAAACAAAAACAAAACAAACAACAAAAAACTATCTAGGGTTTGACTATGGAGGAGGAAGAAGGCTCTCCTGTAGCTTTCTTTTTGTCTTATTGTTGGTGCTTTCTAAATGCTAAGCTCAGTTATTTCTCCTTGCTCAAAGATTCTAAGTGATATCATTGACTTTCAACCACCCTGAACTAGTCAGAACTGTGATATCCCAAAGGGAGGACTTAGGTAACCTCTTTGGTGTCATGGCCTGCTTTGGAAGTCTGGTAAAACCTACAAACTTGTTCTTAAAATGATTTTTATTTTTTTAATGCACAAAAGAAAATGTATGGGATTATAAAGGAAACAACTACAGTGAGATACAATTGATAAGATATTTTAAAAAACAAGTTCACAGACGCACAGTTAAGAACTCCTTGGCTTAGAGACAAAGTGAATTTTTTTTTAACTGAAACTTCAAGGAAAGTTTAATATGGGTGTCCTGGTGTTACCCAAATGGAAAATTCCCAAGAAACTAATCTCTTCTAGTATCTTGGATTCAATGAAAGGTGTTAAATATCAGCAAAGAAGCTCTGGTTGTCTCTTAGAAACCTTGATAGTAGGTTCCTAAGAAGCTACTATAAATGTATAAATTATATATATGCTGTATAAAATACAGTGTATTTGTATGATAGAGGTAAATGCATAGGTATGTGCCTTTTTAGACATGGGTAATATTTTCTGCAGGATAATATGAAAGTTTTCATTTTCATCTGTATATCAAAACATTTTTTGATCTAGTGAAAGCTAACAATTCAAAGGCTCCTACAGATGGAAAGAACTTTAGAGGGTGCATTTTATCCAACTTGGCATGTTAAAGAGCATCTAGTTTCATATTTTTCAAGTTAAAACTGAGCCCCAGAGAAGTTAAATCAGGTGGCAGAGCTTGGGTTATTGCCAAGCTCACAGTGTCAAAGCGAGGACTAGAGTTTAATCTTCATGACTCTGAGTCCAGTGCTGGGCCTTGCTCCCCCACCAGGAGCTCATAGAAAGGCTGGGGAAAGAGCACTGGTCATTTTAGGGGAGTGAGTCATTTCAGTTGACCCTGAGGCCCAGATTCCAAGTTGAAAAAAACAAAATGTATTTATTTAATGACTTTCTTTTATCTGAAGTTGTCCTGTTCCACAGACATGAATGCTTCATAGAGGGTTAGTCATTAGAACTGGGCACATCCTAGGGACCTATCAGATAGAAATATCCAATTAATATATATTAATTATGGACTCTAGGGTAACCGGGTTTTCAACCTTTTCTTGTATCATGGATATTTTTGTCAACCTGGTAAAGTCCGTAGACCCCTTCTTTGAATGATCCTTAATTATATAGAAATGTAATTATTAAACTTTTTAAAATCAAGTTTGTGAACCCCAGATTAAGGACCCTTGTTTCTGGGGGCTTTTCAACTGAAATACACGTCATATTTAGGATCATGGAAGACCAACATGTCTAATACTCTATCCTGCCCTATAAATCTGTCTGACTCTTCAGTGAATATTTATTAGCTTTGTAGGCTTTTGAGCCAAGCATCGGTTCCATTTAATATTTTGGCTTATGAGCTGACACATTGTAAAAACATTAGTGCTTCCTCCCTCAAGTGGGTTGCCGGGCTGATTGTGCTTAACACCTACTGGGCAGCCTTCCAACAGGAAGATGTTGGTTTCCATGTCTATTGATTGAAGTCCCCATTCTTCCCTGATATTGGCTAACTTACAGTGGTACCAATCCACAGTATTGATGGAAATACCCAAATGGGTGAAATGGCAGTTCCATGGACCTGTTGGAACATCTGTGGCAGCACATCTTTATAGTATGGTATTGTATAAATCCATAGAAATGTTTTGAGTGATAGCTCCTATGCTCATGAATTTAAAAAAAGAAAGATAAAATGGATTGATGCAATGGGTATCACATTAGATGCATATAAAAGCTCTAGTTTCTCAATATGTTCTAGTGCCATGCTCAAAGCAGCAAACTGTGGTCCAAAGTTGAAAAGACCTCCATCTATTGATTATATTATTAATGATCAAATACATTGTCATTTCCCCTTTAAGAAAGTGAAATATATGTTTGACATGGGGGAAGGGGTAGAGAAAATCCCTGACTACTTTCTTCTTTGCCCCCACCTATATTTTCATTGGTGTGAGGAGTTCCCTGGTCTGGAAACCCTCTCCAACAATGCAGATCAATCCAACTAGTAATCTGAAACAGTTGTCTGGGACACTAGGAAGTTCAGTGACTTTGCTATGATCACATTATTAGTTAATATGCTCAAAGGCAGGTCTTGAACTCTGATCTTCTTGATCACTCTGTCTTCTAAGCCATGCTATTTGACCTGATAAGCTACATTTAATACTTTCATACTCTGAAAGGAAGTTTATTTTTATTAAATTATATTTTCCCACTTCGTAAATGCTACTTCAATGGAGACGTAAGTCTGATTATTCTGTATAGACTTCAGACTATTGTTCCTATAGAATTCTTTTATTTCCCTTATATCATAGGAAAGTTGGATGCCTTTCTACATTTCTGCCCAGACCAAACATGAGCACATTTTTTAAAGTAGAGTTTATCATAAAAATTCACACTTAGTTCCAACAAGGATTTTCTTCCACTGCTGACAAACATTTCAAAACTTATCTCAGGAAGCCATTTTTTCTCTTTTTTGATTCCACAGGCATTCTCCACCTTATCCCTATAGGTTTTTTTTTTATAAGTCAGGGAGGAAATGTCAAGTAAAATATTTTGTTGTGTGTGTGTGTTTTTTAAGCTTCTCTTTTAAAGGTATCCCCAAGTAATCCTTTCCTAGTGGGATATTTGTGTGGCTGAAATCATAGGATTCTGTAATTGTAGTTTGAGAGCTGGAAGGGTAATGAAATCACAAACAAGCTCATTTTACAGACACTGAAACTGAGGTAAAGGCACTTGTCCAAGGTCACACAAGAAGTAAGAAGAGAAATTCAAACCTGGTGCTTCTGACTCCAAATTTGACATTCTTTCCACCATACCAATGAATGAAATGATCACATAATGCTGTATTTGGCCCATGATGTGTCTCTACTCTTGCCATACCAGAGTTTCCAGAAAATACTGATTCATTCTGCACTGGCTATCTAAAATGAGCTACAAAAGCACTAATACAGAGCAGGACCTTACTTCTGATGGATGCAAGGACAAAAAAGAGGTTTGTTTTTGTTTTTTGTTTTTGTTTTTTCTGGACACACCCCCTTTGAACAGTCAAACATACCAGTTTGAGCCAGGTATTACATTATAACCATGTATACAGTGCATTTGAATTCACTTGTCCAAACTATGCAGGCTTGCTCTCGTTGGCCATATGCCACAACCAAAATAAGTAATTGATTTAGTGCAAATGTAGTTAAAGCTGTCCTTTGATCAACTCAACAAGAATCACAGAATCTCAGAGTGAGAAGGAACTTTAGTGACCACCCAGTCTAAAAAGAATCAACACTTTGTACCTACCACATCGTTACTAGGACTTTGGTTGAAGATGTTAAGGAAAAGGGAATTCACTTTCCTTTAACTGCCTGACTCATTAGACCAGCTTCACAATGCAGCACCTAATGAATGTATCACCTTGAGCTTCATTTCTATGGGGGTCCTTTCTTCTCTCAAATAAGTCAATCATTTTGCTTAAAATGAAACAAGTTACCAACGAGAGTTACTATATATTAATACATAAAATTATAATTGTAGGTGAGAAATCAACCTTATGGTTTGATTTTAGTGATAGAGAAACTGAAAGCCAGAAAGATGAAGTTATGAATATAGTCTTTCTTCCACAGTTGTTCAGATATTTCCTAGGTTTATTATATATTCAAGGCCATTTTAGATAGTCATGTCACTTTTCATGGTGTAGTGGATAACATTGTAGTCCTATGAGTCAGAAATTCCTGAGTTCAAATCCAGCCTCAGACGCCCAGTAACCCTGGGCAAGTCAGTTAACCCTGTTTGCCTCAGTTTCCTCATCTGTTATATGAGGTAGAAAAGTAAATGGAAAACCTCTCCAGTATCTTTGCCAAGAAAACCCCAAATGGGGTCACAAAGAGTCAGACATGACTAAAACAACTGAACACAAGAGCAAATTATTTCACTGCTCTATGCCTTAATGTCCTTCATGAAGGGTTTGGACTGAAAGACCTTTTAGGTCCCTCATGCTCTATATCTATGATACTATGAGCCTAGGATCCCAAGCAGCAAAATACTGAGAATTCTATAAAACAGTATATTATACGTGAATGCACACACACATAGAAGAGCAAGTCTTGTAAAATTATTGAAACTCTGCAATTCTTTTCAATGAAACAGGGCTTTTTTGTGTAATTCTTGATCCCGTTTTAATGATTTCCATTAAAAAAATGACTATGGCTAATACTGATGTTTGATTACCCACAATGATGAAGTCATAGAGAAGATTGAGAACATTCCCCAACTCATCTCTCTCTAATGTCATATAATGGAAGTTTTAGCAACTACAATGAGCATGCTACACATGAACAAGGAAACAGAAGGGAAAAAAGACTGTCCCTGCACAGTCTTTTTCATCTCCTTAGAATTTGATACAAGTTTGGGGAAAAAAATAATGTATTAGTGTGCCCAGCCTCTAAGAAATAAGAGATCAATTGCTGCTCAAACTGTTAGTTTAAGCACATTAAACTCTGGCAATCTGCTAAATCACCCCAGATGTTGTAGGTGCCTGATTTCCAAGAAGTGCAGGGTCTCATTTGTTTAGCTCAATAGATGTGGTGTCTTTTGTAATATCTGAGGAAATAAATTAACTTTTATCACTGGGTTTAAAATCTAGTTGGAGAAAAACTGTGATCAGCAGTTACCCAGTGAGGCAAACACACTGAGCACAAGGCATTCCTAATAGCTAGGAGGTTTTAAAAAAATTACAGACTACAGAAAAGAATGATTTGCTGTGATATGTGTAGTTGGCAGATGGCTCTGAAATGATTTCACATCACTGCAGCACATCCATAACCCAAACAAGCCAGGCATTTTCCATATTGATGCTTCTAGGTTTTCTAAAGGGAATTACAAGAGCACAGACTATGTGGATTTTGTCTTTTCTTCCTTTGGCAGTTATTAATGGGAGTTTTGTGTCCAAATAGGTGATACTAATAAGGACAAAGCCTTATAAAATGAGGGAAGTGAAGTGAATGTTTAAGGTGAATGATGAGAGAACCAAAGATTTTGGAAGTCTGAGGTTTATCTCCACACTTGTAGAACATGGCAACCAGTCTTTGAATTTTGTTATCAAGGAAGATATAGATAGGTGCCTAAGGCATTTGCATTCTGAAAAGAATAAGTTGTTTCTGTCTAGGCATATATGTCTATGCTATTCTATGCATAGATACAAGGTACAGGCAAGAGTATAGGAAATGTAAAAAATGGTACAAAATGGAAACTGTCATATTTCCCTATGCAATAACTTTCCCTGAATATGAAAAGAAGAAATGATCCTATGCAAGTTTAGAATTTAATACATAGAAAGAAATAAGAGAGCTATGGTTAACACTTAGGAATGATAAGCAGAAAAAAAGACAAAAAAACAATGAACCAGTAGAAGACATCACTGATCCCTTTCCCTGAATATGAAAAAGAAGAAATGACCCTACACAAATTTAGAATTTCACACATAGAAAGAAATGAGAGCTGTGTTTACTACTTAAAAACAATAACCAGAAAAAAAAATGAAACAGAGAGAGCTAGTAGAAGGCATCACTGATGGTGGTATGAATTGGTATCATTAAGACAGATCTGGTTTCAAAGGTCTCGCTATGAGCAAGCTGGGTTCATTAAGATGGAAGATGACCTTTTCAGGCCTATAGCCTATCAGTTAATCAATCATGGTGCCTTTTGAGCAAAAAAAGATTCACAGTCACTCTGTGAATCTAACTTACTCTCAGAAAGTAAGTCCTTTACTGACAGGATCCATCTACATTGGTCTCTGATTCATGGCCTTGTACATGTCAGTAGACTAGGATTTAGGGTTTACATCAATTTCTTTAAATTTACTTCAAGGCCAATATTAGTCTTGCATTCATTTTGTAATCCAAAGTGATAATATTATATATTAAGGATGCTGCTTTGTAGGAGAGTGTAGATACCCCTTCACCAGGATCACTTCACTCATCAATGTCCTTTTTCCATGTCATGTACACAACCTTCTGTACATATATATTCTGGAACGGATATATTGTTACTTCTTATTTTGCCCTATACCCACTTTTCTGTTTCTTGTGGTACTATCCAAAAGGCTGCTTTGGCCCTTATTATCCCCTAAGGTGCAGTATCTATTCCATTTGAAGTGACAATGTGTATTTCTTCCTTGGAGAATGATGCACAGATACTTAGAGCAGCTCCTTCTCATTGATATTTTAGAAACTCTTATTTTTTTTTGTTTTGTTCTGTGTAAGCCATATTCATTGTACACTGTGTGTATATTTTTGTTTAAATAAATGTGACTTTTATTTTTTAAGTTTCTGACTTTTTTTCCTCTATTTTCAAATGCACCATTTCTTTCTCCATTTTCATCAAAGTAGCACTGGAGGTGTCCCAAATATCTCAGTGTAGTTTTAAGCTATTAAAGTGTATGACTAATTAAAGGTATTAAAAGTTAAAACTGCACTAAAATGTTTGAGATGCCCTGTATGTAAAGGTTATCTAACCTAAGAAAATGAGTCATGGCAATGCCTTAAGATGTATATATGACTTTTCTGCCAGCTGGCAGCTGATTTTAGATTAAAATGGGACATTCTGTATTTAGTAAGAGAATGTTCCTTTATCTTTCTAGTTAGTACCCATGAAGAGAGGAGGTATTAAAGATTCAGTTCAATTCCACATGTGTTGGTTAAGTATGTCCTCCATGCCAGGGATTTCTAGGTACTTAGGCTGCAAAGACAATAATCAAAATCAGTCTCTGCCCTCAAGGTACTTACACAGTACTTTCAGAACATGCTTCCATAACCTTGACATTGATTCAATCATCAAGTATAAAGACAAAATTCATTTATTTGACACCTTACACAAGGCCAAAATTTATTCAGCAAATTTTGAACTGAATCTTCCATTCATTTGCAGTGTAAGGATCTCATGGAAGGGATTTAGTAACTGCAATATTATTGCACAAATAGCTGGTGGGTTATTTGGCCCTGGTGAGTTTGACAGTTTATTCATTACAGAGTATTACTTTTTGGTTTATACAATTATAAGCATTGACAGAGAAGCCATATTTCCAAAGGATGACATCTGACCTTGATTCCAATGGAAAAATGAAAACTGCAGTCAGCCTTGTCATTCCCCTTGAGATAAAGATGTGTTAAGTGTTTCTTTCAAAACCAGCTTGAATTTTGCCCGTACTTGGATCTCTGAGGCCTTTCTGATATGATAAGAGTTTTCTGAAAGTTCTACACTTGCCTATCTTTCTCTTCCTACAGTATGGGAAGTCAAGTTACCAGTGCTTGGATGAAACACAATGGGCTTCATCAAATGATGTCAGGTGTTCCCCACAGATCCCATTGTGGCAGAAGGACCCCTCTGGCAGTTTTATATTTCAGAGTATACATCATTCAAAGGGGTTGAAAAATTTCTCCCATCCCCACATTTGGGAGGCAAATGTCAGAGCCTGATGCATATGAGTACTAAGGAATATCCTCAGTCAGCCACATCAGGTTCCCTGGACATTGCTGGAATTTGCCCACCTCCTCTGTAGAGACTCCTTCCCACCTGCTCCTTCCCTTGAAGCATGTACAACTACACTTTACCATTTCTACTGCCCTGTAACATGTAATTGAAGCGGGTAATCAAGGCAATTGAATGGCTAATTCAAACCTATATATTAATAATGCCATACTGGGGTTTGGGGCTTTATTATCCAATTAATTGACTTGATTTTTTATTTAGACATATCAACATAACTTTATACCAATATATGTACATATTTATTATACATACACACACACATAATAGTATCAAGTGGGAGTAATAGCTCACTTGTCAAGAAATCACTTAGGAGGAAGTAGAAATACTATTTTTTTTAAATAGACACAAGAACCTAAAAAGTATAACAGTTTGGGGCAATTCAGCTTTGAGGCAAATAACTTTATAAAAGAATATTCATTTATTACAAGACAGCACAGTAAGTGGTGATTATAATAATTACCCTGACTCATCAAGTAAAAATTCAACTATGTTCAGTTAATGTTTGGCAAACTATGTTTAAGAAAACCAGAAAGTGTGGAACCACAGTCAGAAGAATTCCCTCCAAAACGGTTAAAATAAAGTTTTGGCATTTCAAAGGGTAAGCTTTAGTTACCTAGACATGTGAGGAACATCCCATTCCCTACTGGTGCTTTATAAGATTTGTTACTATACTTTCAGTTGAATGCCAGAAAATATCAATATTATTTCAAAAGATTGTTTTGATTATTTCCAAAGCTCAAATATTGATGAAAAGAGGGCGATTGTTAAGTTCAAGTTTTCTATCAGCCCTGGTCCAATTAGTGCCAGCAGATGAGAACATGTGGACTGGAAAAATCAAATTATTAGACCTGAAATTATGCCCAAGTGTGACTCTCTTGCTTTTCTAGTATTCTGCTTTGTAAGACCATTGATTGCAATATCATATATGTCACTGGTAAGTAATGAAGGGGGTTGGAAAAAAGATTAGAGATATGAAAACTTGGTGAGCTCAGAAACATTTATTACCTGAAGATTTTATTGCCTAACATGGCAAGCTGCTTTAGATTATAGTCATGGGTTCCAAGCAATGCTTGTCTCTTCCCACAAGAGCCCGTCCTTTTAAAATTTTGGTTGTTCAGTCAGCAGCTGTGAAAATATGGAGTAATGGAAGGAGTCCTCAACTTGGAAGCCTGAAAAACAGATCATAGAATATCAGAGCTAGAATGGGCCATAGAGGTCATCTTCCTCACTTTAAAGATGACACTGGTACTCAAAACTATTCATTGACTTGTGAGAGTTCACACAGAATTCAAACCCAAGTCATCTGACACAGGAATAACCCTCTATTTTCAATACCATCTTTCTGCATAAAAGTCCTAGCTCTACTCTTTGCTAGCCATGTGACCCGGGGCAAGTTGTCCTACATCCTGGACCTCCGGTTTCCATATGTGTATCGGTGTGTGTGTACATGTGATAATGATACTTGCTTTATGGGATTTTTATAAAATTTGTAAACTGTAAAACCCTAGGTACATGTGTGTAATTATTGAACAGCTAGTCATCATTATACACAGTTGTATCAGAAAGCTAGATGGTACAGTAGATAGAACACTGTACATGGAGTCAAGAAAACCTGAGTTGAGATCCTGCCTCAGACACATATTAGCTAACATTTCATATATATATGTATATATATATATATATACACACACACAAATCCCATCAGATTTATCTAATTTTGCCTACAAGTAATACAGATTTAAAATGAGAGGGGGACATAAAATTAACTCTACTTCAGCTGACACGTGAAAATAAGGAATTATATTCATAATTTTGGACACAACTGAATTCAAATTTAGAAATTATTAAGCACAAAAACCATGGGAACTGCATATTTAAAGAAACTATACACAATGAACAAATATCAATATTAAATAAACATAACTTAATGTCACAGTAGCTGTATTTTTAAAGGAAAAGTTAACTGTTTTGCAAAAATATTTCAACACAAAAACAAAAATAGTTCTAAGACTTCAATATTTCATTTATGGAATATGACAAAGTCAAGTAAAAAAACAAGTATAAACTTCTAGACTTGAACAGAAAGCAGGAAAAATTGTATTCAAACACTATATGAAAAGAACTGCATAAGGATAGGTGAAATTTTAGTTTTCATTCAAATGCTTGTGGAGCTTTAGTAAAAATTGGTATGCCCTAGTGTGAGGATCTTAACTAAATACATTTATTAAAATATTAAAAATAAAACAAGTTCATAAACCTCAAGTTAAGAGTCTATGACACAAAAAGCTTAAGAATCTCTGCTCTAGGGTATAAAAATGTACAAATTCACAAAGGCAGAAATTTTAAATACTATCATTGTAGATACAAAAAAAGTAAAAATGATGAATAGAAGTAGGCCAGGATAAAGATTAAAAACAAGATATGCTAAATAATACTTTCCCAAAGACTAGAATAAAGAGACAACTAACGTTATATTAAAGATAACACGAGTATACTACATATCAAAATTTATGAGATGTTGCTAGAGCATTACTAAGAAGCAAATAAATCTGAATATTAACAAAAGGCAAAGGATGAAGAATAGAATGGATACAAGCATTTATTAAATGCCTATTATGTGTAAGGCACTATGCTAAGCACTGTACAAACATCAACACACAAATAATTTTATCCTCACAACAACCCTTCAAGGTAGGGGCTACTATTATCCTCGTTTTGTAGTTGAGGTGATTGAGGCAGACAGAGGTTAAGTGACTTGTCCAGGGTTACACAGGTAGTGTCCTGAGATAAGATTTGAACTCAGATCTTCTGATTCTGTGTCCAGTATTCTCTTCTCTGTGTCACCTAGATGCCCCTCCCTAACATTTATATAATACTTCAAAGTTGAGCGAATATTTTATATCTTTTATCTCTTTTGATCTTCACTTGTTCTTCATGATAACCCTGGGAGGTCTTATTTTGGCAGCACATATACATAACTATCCTGGGAGGCAGGTGCTAGTATTTCCATTTTACAGATGGAAACTGAGGCTATTTCACTAGTATATGTGTAAAGCAAGAAATTGTTAAAATTAAAGAAGGATTTAACAAAAAAAAAAAGAAAAACCCTATAGAATTGATAAAAATAAAGTGTGGCATTTTAAAATTTAAAAAAATTAAAATAGATAACCTATTAGCAAATTTAATCAAAAAACAATAAAGGAAAATCATAATATCAATTTTTAAAATAAAAAGATCATAATGTTCTTAGAAGAAATAGAGAAATTATTAAAGATTATCACAAGCTCTTATAGGCCAGCACAACTGAGAATATAAAATAATTGGATGATTTTGCCAAAATATAAAATATCCCAAGTTTTAAAATAAGATACTGATAACCTAAATCAACAAAAACGAGAAAAATTAATGACCTAACCAAAAAAAAAAAAAAAAAAAAACAACAAAAACAAATCCAGATCAGATGTTGCTTTCTATTTGGCATTTAAAATAAAAAAATGACAATTATATTCTCAACTGTTTGGATAACTAGAGAAAGTTGACAACATACAATTTTCTTTATGATACAAATATGTTCCTAATCCCAAACCAGAAAAAATATGTAATAGAGAATGAGAATTTCAGACCAAAATCATTGATGAATGTTGATACCAACATTAAAATAATGGAAAGTAGGAACATATAAAGTCAATGAAATTACAAATTATTGTATTCCTTGTACTTGTATCCCCTGTGCTTAACATTACATACTACATAGTGTTTAATGAATACTTATTGATTGATATAGATAGATATGTGGATATGTAAAACCCAGATCCATTTTACACAAATTGGATTGATATCAAGAATTCAAAGATAATTCAATATCATGAAACAATTACCATAATAAATCAAATTAATAATAAAAACTATAAGACCATATGTTTATATCACTAGATAAAGGCACTGATAAAAATATAACATGCTTTTATATTTTAATAACACAGAAATGAATTTAGCAGTCTCCCATTTGGTAAACCCTCAAATCATAAAACTGGAGAAAATATTCACTATTTAATATTCACTATTTTACCTGTTAGAATAATTGGATAGATCTTGGCAAAAAAAAAAAAAAGAAATGGTCTCACATCTCATACTATTTGCCTCAATAAATTTCAAATGGATTCATGATCTAATATTCTAATTCACAACTATATTACAGAATAATAGAACATAATATCTTTCCCAACCATGTAGAGGAGACAAATTCTTAACCAAGTGTGATGTAAAAGAGAATTTAAAAGACAAATTAGCAAATTAAACCACATAAAAAGAGTGTGAGAAATATTTCCTTTCAGAAAATATTTCTAGTAAAAAAATTAACATCTAAAATCTATAGAAACTTGTAGTAATTTATCAAGATGAGATTCATTTTATAATACTTAAGTGGTCAAAGTGTATGAACAGGTAATCCTTAAGAAACACAGATGATCATTTACCACATGAAAACTTTAGAAAGGAATCAAACTCTCCAAGAATCAGATAAATGCAAATTAAAACTGAAATACTGTCTTATATCCTTTAAATTAGCAGACAGTAAAAGAAGATAAAATTACATGCTCATGCAACTGTGGAAAAATAGCCAAATAGACATGTCAGTGGAATTTGAAATTTGTTCACTCTTTTTGGAAAACAATATGGAATTATATAATAAGGGTTACTAAAATGTTTTTACCTTTCACCCCACGCACCCACTCTTCAGAACATGCCCTCCAGAGGTTATAGAAAGTAGATAAATGACCTACTTAGTAATAGGGAATAGGCAATGTACAGATGAAGAAACTCTTTTTACTAATAAACATTGGTACTTTCTTTGCAATTCATGGTCTTAGAGACTTGCCTTGTGCACTGAGGGTTTGCCCAAAGGAACACAGTATGTATGAGAGACCCTAGCCACTACACAACACTTTCTCTCCTGTCCTACTAATATAATTTGTGATAGTAAACAAAAAATATCCAGTTGTTGGGGAATGTTTGTAGAAATTTTGGTATACAAATAAGATGGAATAATTTTACATGATAAGAAATAACCATTATAAAAATCTGAAGAAATATGGGAACAACATTCTTTCAATACACATTTATTGAGCACCTACTAGGTGGGAAGTCATATAAAGTGACGATTAGTAAAAAAAAAAAAAAAAAAAAGCAGACAACAGAACAATACACAGAGTGACCACAATGAACATGAAGTAATTATGTAAATAGTACAGCCACAAAGCTCAGATAAAAATAGAAAAATGTACAAAGGAAAAAAAATAAAATGATTAGGTTATCCCATTATTAAAATTAATACACATCTTTTGTTTACAGTGTGAAAATACATTTATGGTTACACTTCTAATTATTTTTTGTTTTGTTTTGTCTTTTTTCTTATTTACATAAAATTTTTAGCACTTGTTAGTAGAAGTTAAAATTTATTTTGGAAAAAGAATAGAAAATTAGAGCACAGAAAATATTCAGAAGAGGTTAGCAATGATTTTTTTTTTTATCATTTTACACAGAGCTGAATTTTCTCTGTACCAAGCTAACTTGTCTAGGTGGTTATTTAACCCATGATTTTAGTTGCTATGATCTAACCACAGAAATCAAAGTGAATAAGAAAACACAGATTTGAATCTGGCTTCTGTCCCTGGGCAAGTCACTCTAAGTTTTCTGTGCCTCGGTTGCCTTATCTGTGAAATGAAAGGGTTAGACTCAATGGTTTCTGAGTTCTCTTCCAGCTCAAAATCTATGATCCTCTAACTATTCCACCAATGAGAGAGCTAAAAACCTTTCACCTGTACATGTTGCACTACCATTGACTATGAACTGATCTGTACATAAACACTTTCTATTTCTTCATTTATTAGTCAAAGAAACAGCAAAGCATGGTAATTCCTAAACCTATGAGTCAGATACTAAGTAGAATGAAAGTAAGAGATCACTGGAGGATGCACTGATTCTAGGATATGACTCAACTAGCAATAGCATCTTTTTGCACAGGAATGTGTGACCACCTCAACTCCCTCTCTAAGACCTGTGGCTTTCTTAAAAACACAGCTTATGTGCCACTTCCTATAGGTGACCTTTCTTTGCTAATTCTCCTGTCCTTTGCTTTAACACCCCTCTAAACTCTGTAAAGCTATGGATT